GTTTAATACGTTTTAAAGTTTATTAGACCCCAAACCACCACAAAATGGTTTTGTAACACACACAGATAGGTTTTAGCTCTGGAAAGTTGCAATGTCATACATACCAACTATTATTAAACTACTAACAGAACTGAGAAGAAAAGCAGCATTGAAGTTACAAAGTCATCTGCTAGGAATGTGCACTCACATACACATGACTGACCCTTGTCAGATGACAAGTTGAGCCTACTTCAGCTCTTTTTTTGCCACTTCTCTTGATCAGAAGTACCAAAGACAATGTTTTCTGCTAAACTCGATACATTTTTTGCCAGTTCCTAATGAGGATGAATTGGTCATTAAAATACTGCTGACTAGGTGTTGTTTACCTCTGTTCCTGACCTGAGTATTCCCTCAGAGTCTGGCATTTCCAGTAATGCTGTCAGGGTGCACTTCTCTTTAAAGAAAACAGAATATGGCTTCAGAAACTGGAAGAAGCATTTGCTGCAAACAGAGTTACAGTACTTGTGTAAGCTGATCCAGCAACGTTGTTGCTTAAACTAACTTCTTAAAATGTTTGTGGTGCAAATATAAGGTAAAGATTTCAGCTGCACTGTATGTGGTAGTCTTTCTTCATTGTGGAAACACTGAACGGCCTGAGGCAGGTATGCAAATTGGCAAAGAATGCTTTTCAGCATGTGTTCTTGTTGTCTTGTTCTATGCTCCTGCTATAAAACATTGCAGGAAAACATGAGTTTGTCTTTTACTTATTGGGCTAAAATATGCCAAACACTCTGGCCGTCTAAAAAGCAGCTATACTGAGAAGGTTTATTTTTTACTAGATACTATAAAGGTAAAATGCTAAAGCATCCACCAGCCACATGAGTCTCCCTGTCATTTCTATTCTGTTCCCTTTTTCTTCTCTGCTAATGTGGTTAGTAAACAGGTCAGCCACAGGATGAATGCAATGTTTCTGAACTGCACTCTCCTCATGCCCCTCTGCAGCCCCATCTCTCACAATCAAAAGTGTCGGCCTCAGCACAATTGCAACAAGTCATCCGACAGAACCATGTGACCTGACACACACACACACACACACACACACACACACACACACACAAATACAACAACCTGGGACTACTGGTGTGGGGATAGTGGACAGTAGAGCCTGGGTACTGGGATGAAAACAAGCAGAGCTGCGTCACGTTAAAGCTGAGATACTGTACGATGTGTTCCAGTTTCTCTGCTTCCAGTTTAAACTGAGGTGGGGTGGAGGGTAGAACAGGACAAAGAGCGACAGAGGAACCAGAAACATGCAAAGGACAGTAAGACTTGATCTGGACAGAGGCTACCTCATTGGCTTGTAGAGATGTCACAGTAAAAAATGTCTGCATTCATTCCTGCAGTCATTAGGTGTGCTCCTTCCTGTCTGTCAAGGCCTAAATATCTGCACAGGTTAGTGGAAACAGGCCTTAAGTGCTACCTGCCCAGTATTAGAAGGTTTCACCCGGTGGATGAGTGTGTGCCCATCTTTATTTGAGCCAGAAATGCTCATAATCTACACTTAGTGGCCTTAACTATAACTGTACCATCCATCGGTGAGTTGTGCTGTTGAATGGTTATTCAAACTATGAATAGCCCCTAAGCGGATCTCTGAGTGGCCACATCATTCAGTCTGAGTGCACCCTGAAGAGGCTGTAGTGCATCTTCAGAGCTAATTCGAACCATTAGCCACAACAAAAGGCACTGAAGACGCAATGTGTTCATAGGAAAGTCTGTTATAGGCAGGGATCTGTTTAAATAATCCAACTTCCTGTCACCTGGAAATGTTTAAATCAACCAGCTTTGGCTCAGAAATGAATAACAGACTGGAGGTTCAGGAAGAGAACACGCTCCTCTGGGAGACAACATCTGGAAAAGGTATAAAGTGCCTTCAACCCAGCAACAGAGAGGGTCTCCTAAAATACAGATGACTATGAAAACAGGGTCACCTGTGTAACCCTAAACATCCTCCGTTTCAGCAGAGAAACTGCTCAGTAGCTTTAAATCTCTAGCAAACACACCAGAATGTACTGGCAGACAACAACATACAGTGAATCTAAGATGGAAGTCTGTTGCCAGATTGGCAGCCATCCAGGCTTGAAACTGTACCATGGACATTTTATGTATTTGTTCCCTAAATCTAAGCATCAACTTCAAGAAGAAGAATTTTGGGAAAATTCACTAAAGCAAACTAGATATTCAACATTTATTTTCAGCCACCACTCAAAGCTGCCTCATGTTTGCATAAATGAGTACACAAAGTGCAATCTGATAGGTTTAAGTTTTTTGTTTTGGGGCATTTCTTCAAGTAAATGAATAATAATGGTAAACGAAATTTAATAATATTTCAGAAAATACAATTTCTCATTAACTCTCTAACACATTACCCAGGATTTCCAAAAATTCCCCTGGGAAAAATTGTTAATTTCAGGATCTGAACAAGTACTTAACTAAATAAGATTGGCTAGTTTGGATCTCATTTTAGAACAAACATCCTGAAAACCCTTTTTTCAGTGAATTCACCAATTAAACACATCCAAAAAAATGATTGTTGAAGAAAAAAAAAAGTTATTCTATAGGTAATCCAAAACCACAAAACTGCCCCCAGCAGAGAAGATTCCTTCATGAACCAGCACAGCACCACCCCTCCCTTGTCTTCATTCCCTCAAGTTACTGTGCGTGTGTAAATGTGTGGTTTGCTGTGCATTTATGCCTATTCGGTGCTCAGCCATCTTTGCCCTCCTTCCTTGATGATTCACTCATGTAAGGAATCAGCGCAAGCTTGTCTGAGCACTGTCTCCTATGAATAGAGCTCTGTACTGTATGGCTGCTACACACACACACACACACACACACACACACACACACCCCCACACACAAGACACCCCCTCTCTCAACAAC